CACAGTCGCGGCCGCGCTGTTATATAGCGCACTGACACTGCCAAGCTGTGACAGCACACACAGTCGCGGCCGCACTGTTATATAGCGCACACAGTCGCGGCCGCGCTGTTATATAGCGCACTGACACTGCCAAGCTGTGACAGCACACACAGTCGCGGCCTCGCTGTTATATATCGCACAGTCGCGGCCACGCTGTGACAGCACACACAGTCGCGGCCTCGCTGTCATATAGCGCACTGACACTGCCAAGCTGTGACAGCCCACACAGTCACTGACGCACTGTGACATCGCACACACATTGTCACAACGCACACACAGACACTGTGTTACAGCACAATGACAGACTCTCCTCTTTTCCAGGTTTCTGCCAAACTCTTTCTCTCACTTTCCACATTCTCTCACAGCATACCCAGACATGAGGACTATCTGTGTTGTTAACTGATAGTTTGTATTGATTTTTTAAACTCCAGCTTAAGTTAGGTTTGTTTTTCCGCCGTCCTGAATTGTTTTCAATATCAGTTTTTCATCCACTGAACTGAGATAAACCCCTTAAGGGTTTCAGTGGTAACGAAGGTTGCTAAGCAACACAAATCTCCCCAACATGTCCTCCAAAGTTGTACGAGGCTAAGCAAGAATGGAGCTAAATTGGAAGACCGAGGTAAGTACAAAGAAAAGGAAGGAAAAAAAAAGAGATAATCCCAGATTCTCTCCTAGGTGACTGCACCTGAGCAGAATTCCAGTCTGGAAATTGGTCTCCCTGGAGCAAAGTCCTGAAAATCCCAAGTGGACTGTGTGAGGAAGGCAGATGGGAGATTCGAGGACATGTGTGGAGAGGACAGTGACAGGCACAATCTGAGCTACAGACAGATCCTGCACACACAGCCCCATGCGGCGTCCTCTGTGTGCACTGTGTGCAGGAGAACATGGGCTGTGTGCTCGTAACCAGGTATCTGATTAAACAGAAGCTCATGTGTTGTTATAGAGACCCTGGGAACTCAGGCCACGATGACAGAGCATCTACACCGCACTGCCGAGCCCAGTCAGGGAAATGGAAATGGGTCTGAAAAACAGCAGAGCAGACATGCAGGCTTGTGGAAGTTGCAACCGTGCAGCAGGCCAACAGGCACTCAAGATTATTATGCCGTTTACATCTACTAATAAGCAGCCACTGATTTCAGAGACCAGGAGCGGTGAAATACGGCACTGCAGGGGCAGCAGAACCTCAGACTGGCATCTCTGATAGATGATCACTCACTGCACAGAACGCTCATGGAGCTCCACCTCTGCAGGGCCACAGTGTCCAGGTCATACACTGAGCTGGCCTGGCTCTCCCGCGGCCCTGCCTCCTGTCTGTCACAGCTGAGCTCACAGAGCTGCCGTTACCACGGTTACTCAGCCACAAACGGTTGGAAATGGCGGTGGTGACCTCTGACCCGAAGGGGCTGTGTGTAACTGGCAGAGCAGCAATCAGGAACAGCGAGGGCTCTCGCCACTTCCTGGCGAAACCCGCAGCACAGCCTCAGCAGACACGTCTCTTACACACAGTCACACTCTTTACACCTGAACTGCACACACTCACACCCAGGGAACACTCACACAGTCACACTCTTTACACCTGAACTGCACACACTCACACCCAGGGAACACTCTCTCACACACAGTCACGCACACACTCACACCCAGGGAACACTCTCTCACACCCAGGGAACACTTTGTACACCTGAACTGCACACACTCACAGAGGGAACACCCTCTCTCACAGTCACGCTCTTTACAACTAAACAAAAAATATTTTTCTACACAGTACTGCACACTTCTGGAAACAAACCCTATAAAATTAAGAAAAAGACTAGTTCCTGTGATTTTATGGAAGCTTTTATAGGCCACACACAGTTCATCCCACCCAGCAGAAGCACACAGCACACAGGCCTCACCCTGGCGGGACGCAGCAGGTCATCAACTAGAGGGCATGGCCAGGTGAAGTTGCTTCAGATATCGACTGTTCAGCAAAAGAAGGGTTTGTGAACAGGCTCAGACAGAGGAGCTGACTCTCCCCCTGCGTACAGGCCCTTGGCTGTGAGATGATTTCAACAGTTGCCTGGCTAAACCGTCTCTCAGTCTAGCCTCGTTACAGAAGTATTTCAAATCCAGAAAGATTATCAATTAACCCAACACAAATGGCTCCTTCAGTACCAGGAGGCAAGCACAGACCTAAGGACACTGTCAAAATTAGGAACATGTGAACATGAGACTGTTGTTGATGACATTACACAAAGGATTGTAGGTACTTGGAAGAAGGTTCTAAAGACAGTCAGACAAGATCACAGGACAGATGAGCTCCTGCGCAACCAAGAGAGCAACACCCGACCGCTCATCTCCTAGGAGCAGAAAATCTCCTCATTATTGCTATTAGTAGTAGTTTTCTGGTCACTGAGGTTGAGCCTCCCTTTCACTCCTCTCCGGCCTGCCGGCAGTGCCTTATATATACGTCTATTATCAACCCCGGCTCTGGCCCTCACTGAGGGTTTCCAAAAATAACCCCTTGCAGGCAGCTCTGATTAATGGCACCAGGGTCAGGACAGAATTTGACAGAAAGACAGGGAAGGGAGGAGAAAGGGACAGAGAGAGGAAGAGTCAGTACTTCTCAGACACAGCAAAAGGAAAACTGACAACAGTCAGTCTTACTGTGAGTCATTCATGCAAAATGGCCACATTTGTCATTCAAATCCTGCTGCCCTCCCTCCACATAGCCAGCCAAGGACCTAACTGTCCACAGCCCGACCACAGGGAAATTCTCTGCTGCTTCTGAATGGAGAAGCAGATCCATCAAAATACGACTACAGACATGCTCTTCAGGACACAGGCACCAAGAGCAGGAGCTCGTCACCTCTGACCCTTGAACCCGGTTAGCGCCTTTTACAACATGACCAGCCCCCGTCTCTCCCAGGATCATTCTCAAGAACAGCTCCTGCCCCTGCAAAAGGCATACAGACCCTGAGTTTCAGTACAGGCAGGCACTTCATCTCGGGCTCTGCACAACCTCTCACACAACAGCTTGCACGCTGAATGCTGCACAGAAAGGGCACGCAGGACTCACCAATTTTCTGGTTGAAGATCTTGTCGAATGTCAGCTCGTCCCTCTCCTCCAGGTACTTCTGCATGACGCTGCGAATGCTGTCAGACAGAAGGAGGGAGAGAGAACAGGATTAACACAGCCCCACTCGCAAAGACTCCTAGAACCAGCGCTAAGGCACACAAACAGACAAGCAGCCCAGGGGACTGACACAAGAACACGCCTCACACGTGCCAAACACCACACTTATGCTGGTCTCTTCTCTCCCAAACGCCTCTCTCCCCCGCTAATCTGCCACATCCCGGTGAGAACATTAATGAAGCACTCCTGTGGGAAGAGGAATCAATTAGCACTCCCTGAGCCCGGGCCCAATTGACTCGTTAGCACCAGAGCACGCGCTGACAGAGGCGGCAGGCTGCACACAGAGCAGCTAAAGGAAAGCCATGGCGTGCGGGCTGGCCTCCAGCCATCAGCCAGAGACAAGAAGGTGGACAGCGTGCGTGCCAGACGCTGGGCAGCCCCAGGGCCAGACGACAGGCAGGCAGGCAGGGAGACGCTGGGCAGGGAGCAGGTC